TCTGGCAAAAAGATCTGGACATTTTATTCAAAGTTGTAAGTGGTCTGCATACTTATTGGATACATATTTTGACCTCAAAGATGGAAAACAAGGATATTATATTACTGACAATTAAAAGATGTACAATAGCCCTAGTTGGTTTTGCTCAGTGAATAGAGAGTTGGCTGTGGACTGAAGGGTTTTATTCTAGTCAAGGGCGCGTGCCCGGGTTGCGAGCTCGATCCCTAGAAGGGGTGTGCAGGAGGCAGCTGATCAGTGATTCTCTCTCATCAATGATGTTTCTATCTCTCCCTCCCTCTCCCTTCCTCTCTGAAATCAATAAAAATATATATATTTTTAAAAGGTGTATATTTTTTTAAAAAGGAAACAAAAAATTGAGTTTGTTTATTTTGTTTGCATTTTAACTTTTTAGTAGGGTAAAATTTATTTTGATAAGGTTTACCTTCTGTCTTGAAAGATTCATGTAGAAATCATTAACTTAAATTGAAAACAATAATACAAAAGTTTTTCCCGGAAAAAAAAAGATTCTCTTCTTTAAGTAACTGGGGAATTGTAGGATAGATGGTCAATTCTGACTGATTTAATTTGAGAGGCTTGTTTATCAGAAACTACTTAGTACTGACAAGCTAGATCCACCTTTGTGTTATAACTAGAGGCCCAGTGCATGAAATTTGGGCACTAGTAGGGTCCCTAGGACTGGCCAGTACTCAAGGCTGATCTGTGGGGCAATCAGCAGGGTAATCGGGGCCCTTGCCCACACCTGCTTTGGCCTGGCACTGCCTGCTTGCTGGCCCCGCCCCCTGCCACTGCTACCGGTCACCATCTTTGGGGCAACCAGCGGGGCAATTGGGACCCCTCCTTGCACTTGCCTTGGCCTGGTGCTGCTTGCTTGTTGGCCCCACCCCTTGCAACTGCCACTGGTCGCTGTCTTTGGGGCTTTGGGTGACCAGCAGGGCGATTGAGGCCCCTGCTTGCACTCGCCTTGGCCTGGCGCCGCCCATTCACCTGTTTCACCATCTACCACAATCCCACTCTCATCAGGGCCTATCGGAGCCAGCAGCACCTCCACTGCCACCCGCTGCCAGCGCTGCATCACCCACACCTGCCATTTCCATGCCACCCTGTGGTGATCAGTGAATGTCTAACTCCTAGTTGGTCAAACCCCCGCCCATGGGTACAATTTGCATATTAACCTTTTACTATTATACTAGAGGTCCCATGCACAAAAAATCGTGCACTTGGGGGTTGGGGGGGAAGGGGTGTCCCTCAGCTTGGCCTGTGCCCTCTCGCAGTTCAGAAACCCTTGGGGGATGTCTAGCTTGATGGATTAGGCCTGCTCCCAGTTGGACATCCTTAGCGCTGCCTCGGAGGTGGGAGAGGCTTCTGCCATCACCTCTGTGTCTGCCCCCTGGTGGTCCATGCATGTCATAGCGACTGGTCATTCCCTGTTGTTCCACCTTTAGGGTCAGTATGCATATTACCCTTTTATTATATAGGACTAGGGGCACAGTGCTTGAATTCCTGCACCTTGTAAGGAACTGTGGGCCGTGAGGCTGTGGTGGGCACAGGGGCAGGTCTCGGCCCATCCTCCATGCCCCTGCCTGGCCGCTCTCATCACTACCCCCAATCTTCTATCTGCTGGCTGCCCTCCGCCCGCTGCCCCCATGCATCGATGGCAACGGCCCCACTCACACCTGCTAATGGTATGGAGTGATTGGGGCTGGCGCTGGGCACCGGCAGTGGGTGTGAACAGTGGCTCTGGTGTTGGCTGTGGTTCGAGCTGGGTTTGGGCTGGCGCTGGCAGCAGGTGTGAGAGCCAGGTGGGACTACAGCACTTGCAGGAGCAAAGAATTTTGAGTAACTAACAGAGGCTCGCCCCAATGACAGCGACTGGTGCCATGCCTTGGTCTGGCGCTCCTGCTCATCTGCTACACCATCCACTGCTATTGATGCCCTCATGTTCCATACTCCCCTTGGTGGTCAGTGCATGTCATAACAACCAGTTGTTCAGTTGTTCCGGTTCAGCCGTTAAATCGGTTTGCATATTAGCCTTTTATTTACTATATAGGATGATAACGCATTCAATTAGGACAGTGGCAAAGTTCTTTCATACTACATCAAATTATAAAGCAGATATATTTGGCCTTGAGAATCATGGACTTTTATCATTCATTTATATTATAGGGCTTAAAAGAATTATCAAGGAAACTTTACTATAAGATTCAAAACATTTTTGGTAAACTAATTTTTATAAAACATTTTCAGTCCATATTCACTGAGCAGAGGAGAAACAGTAAGTTTGGAGAGTAGGGACTCTGCCATTAAACTTATTTTTTGAAAAAATAAACTAGTATATTTGGATGACAAAAATGAGTATCAGAAAAATAGGTAAAAGCCGAATCCTGTTTGACTCAGTGGATAGAGCAGTCAGCCTGCAGCCTGAAGGGTTCTGGGTTCGATTCCGGTCAAGGGCATGTACTTTGTTGCGGGCACGTCCCCAGTAGGGGGTGTGCAGGAGGCAGCTGATCGATGACTTTCTCATTGATGTTTCTAACTCTCTCTTTCTCTCCCTTCCTCTCTGTAAAAAAAATCAATAAAATGTATTTATTTATTTTATTTATTTATGGTTGGGGTTTTATTTTATTTATTTATTATTTTAAAAATAAATCTTTATTGTTCATATTATTACAAATGTTCCTCTTTTTTTCCCCCTCCATTGCTCCCACCCCACCCTCTGCCCTTTCCCAGCCCCCCATTGTCCTCATCCATAGGTGCACAGTTTATGTTCAGTCTCTTCCCACACCCCCCACTCCTCTTTTCCCCGAGAATCATTAGTCCACTCCCCTTCCATACCTCTGATTCTATTATATTCACCAGTTAATATTGTGCATCAGATTTTTTAAATTCTCTTGGTTTTTAGATTCACTTGTTGATAGTTATGTATTTGTTGTTCATAATTTTTATCTTTATTTTCTTTCTCTTCCTAAAGAACCCCCGTAAGCAATTCATATAATTCTGGTTTGGCTATGATGAACTCCTTTAGCTTTTTATTTTTTATTTTTTATTAGTGAGGCTCTTTATCTGGCCTTCGATTCTGAGTGATAGCTTTGCTGGGTAGAGTATTTTTGGCTGTAGGTTCTTGCTATTCATCACCTTGAATATTTCTTGCCATTCCCGTCTGGCCTGCATGGTTTCTGTTGAGAAATCATCTGACAATCGTATGGGTGCTCCTTTGTAGGTAACTACCTGCTTTTCTTGCTGCTTTTAATATTCTCTTTATCTTTTGCTCTTGGAATTTTAATTATGATGTGTCTTGGTGTGGTCCTCTTTGGATTCCTTTTGTTTGGGGTTCTGTGGCTTCTTGGACTTGTAGGTCTAATTCTTTCACCAGGTGGGGGAAGTTTTCTGTCACTATTTCTTTCAGTATGTTTTCAGTATCTTGCTCTCTCTCTTCTTCTGGGACCCCCATAATTCTGATGTTGGTTCACTTGAAGTTGTCCCAGAGGTTTCTTACATTATTTTCAACTTTCTGGATTCTCTTGTCTTCTTGCTTCTGCGGAGGAGTGTCTTCTGGGTCTTTATGTTCCAAATCTTTGACTTGATTCTTGTGATCTTCCATTCTGTTTTTAGGACTCTGTATAATATTTTTTATTTCAGATAATGTATTCTTTATTTCTTGTTGATCCCTTATTATTTCTTGTTGATCCCTTATTATTTCTAGTTGATCCCTTTTCATATCCTCATAGGTCTCCTTTATTTTATCGGCCTTTTCTTTCTTTTTTTTTTTTAAATATATTTTATTGATTTTTAACAGAGAGAAAGAGAGAGAGATAGAGAGCTAGAAACGTCGATGAGAGAGAAACATCAATCGGCTGCCTCTTGCACACCCTCTACTGGGGATGTGCCCGCAACCAATGTACATGCCCTTGACCGGAATCGAACCTGGGACCTTTCAGTCCGCAGACCGACGCTCTACCACTGAGCCAAACCGGCTTCGGCTATCGGCCTTTTCTAAGAAATTCTTGAAAAACCTTATAACCATGGTTATGAACTCTATATCCAATCACTTTTTGTCCTCCATTTCTTTTGTTTGTGATCTGTTTCCTTGTCTCGGCATTTTCGCAGCTTCCCTGAGTTGGTAGCCTTAAAAGTCTCTGTGTTCAACTTAGATGGGGCAGAGTTTCAGGGTGAAGCCCACAGCCTTGGCTTACATCAGCCCCGCCCCTAGGAGGCTCCTGAGACTCTGTATTCCTCAGGGTCCTTCAGTACTCACTGCAAGCACCTCTGAGAGAGAGGCGCCCTCGAGTTTCGCCCGCCACCAAACAGTCTAGGCTCTCCCCCAATAAGTCTGGAACTGGGGTTCAGTCAGTTGGAAATAGGATTCAGAGCAGTCTGGAGCTTTTGTCTCCTTCCTGCTAGGGCAATCCAGCAGCATAGTTCTTTGCGCGCAATGTGCGCGCCTCTGGGACTGCCTTTCGTCACTCCCCTGAAGTTCCACCTTACAGCCCAGGCTCCCTCTGTATGAGCCTGGGTCCCCAGGGTCTGACCTAGAACTGGGGTTCAGTGCTGTTGGGTCTGGGGTTCAGCACAGTCCGGAGCTTTTATCTCCTTCCCACTCGGGAACCCAGCCAGGCACTCAGCCGCCCCTTCTCTCCGGCTCTGTCCTCTCTGGGCGCGCAACGTGTCTCCGTACCTAGGGCTTTTATAGCTTCTCTGATTTTCCTTCTGGTTTTCTCTTTCCTTCTTGTTGTAGAATTTCCAGTCACTTGACTTTCCTGTAGTTCTGGGTAATGTCCATTTTGTATTTTAGTTGTATTTTATTGAAATTGTTGTGTGAGGCTGCAGTTAGGTGTTTACCTATGCTGCCATCTTGGATTCTCTCTATTTTATTTTTTTTCTCAATAAAATATATTAAAAAAGAAAAGAAAGAAAGATAAGTAAAAATAGAGAAATGTTTCTGATAAGACCTTAATGTTTCTTCCTTTTTATTGTCTTTTCAGACAAATGACCATGGAAACAATTGAATCTCAACAGGATGGAAGTGTAACAGATTCTTTGACAGAGAGAGAATCTGCAAATATGCAGGCCCAGACTGGCCAAAATTCAATCCCTAATTTAGCTCAGGTAAATTCATTGTAGGCAATAGTCAGACACTGATGAAAGTTAAACTATATGGAAATGAGAAATATGTTTAGATTCTGTTTTATTGCAATTGATGTTAAGTTTCCCTGTTTCCTGGTTATCAGCTATCCTTACTGACGTAGAAGGGAATCTACATGATTGAATTACTTTTGCATTGTAACAGACATTTTGCTATGCTCCTCCACCACTTATGCAAAGGAAAAATTAAAAACCTCTCCACAACATATAATCCTCAAATTATTATGATTATTTTGTATGTGTATACACACACACACACACATATATATATATATATATATATATATATATATATATATATATTTTTTTTTTTTTTTTTTTTTTTTTTTTTTTTTTTCAGAGAGGAAGGAAGAGGGAGAGAGAATCACTAATGATGATAGAGAATCTGATTGGCTGCCTCCTGCATGCCCCCCACTGGAGATCGAGTCTGCAACCTGGGCATGTGTCCTTGACTGGAATCGAAACTGGGACCTCTCAGTCCCCAGGCCAGTATTCTAGCCACTCAGCCAAACCAGCTAGGGCCTCAAATTATTATTATTTGAGAAGGTTGGTAATTCCAAATTGCTATAGTTTTATACTCTCATTTATAAACTAGGGGCCCAGTGAACAAATTTGTGCACCTCGAAAGGACCTGTGGGTCACGAGGCTGTGGTGGGCATAGGAATGGGTCTCAGCCCATCCTCTGTTGCTCTGCCCCGGCCCCTCCTGCTGAGGCCCCTGGTCCCCTGTCTGCTGGCAGCCCTGCTCCTGCCGCCACTGCTCCCACACACTGATGTGGAGCGACTGGGGGCAGCACCAGCAATAGGTGCAAGCAGGGCCGGTGCCATCACTGGATGCAAATGCTGGCTTTGGCACCGGCAGTAGGTGCAAGCAGGGGCTCCTGCACTGGCAGTGGATGTGAGAAGCAGCTGATGGTCCTGATTTCCCCTAAGGAGCAGGAAGAGGTGGAGAAGCCCTGAGGGGCAACCAGGGCCTGCAGCCACTGCTGATGGCGCCGAGCAATCGGGTTCAGCGCGGGGAGCCAGCAGTGGGTGCTAGTGGGGCTGGCACTAGCCGCAGGTGCAAATGCTAGGTGGGATAGCAGCGTGTGGGAGCAAAGAATTTTTAGTAACCACCAGAGGCTTGCCCCAATGACAACGATCAGCACCCAGCCTTGGTCTGGCAGCCCCACTCACCTGCTCCACCATTCTGCTGCGGCCGAAACCCGCCATGTTCCATGCTCTGCCACCTGCTGCCAAAACCCATCATACTCTGCACGCGCCTGGTAGTCTTCACACGTCATAGCGACTGGTTGTTTGGTTGTTCCGCCGTTCGGTCTATTTGCATGTTAGCTTTTTATTATATAGGCTGTCAGAATTCTTACTGTTTGCCCAGTATATGTTTGGTTTAATCTTTATTTTCTTTTTAAAAAAAGTTAGGTCTTAAACTTTGTTTTCTCACTTCTAAAATTTGTTTTTGAAATATGTATGAAAATATAGATATTTATAATAAAAGCAAATTCATGTATTTATTTAGTTAATCGAGTATTTATTGAGTACCCCTAGGCACTATTCTAGATACATGAGGACATGTGGTTCTTGACCTTAAATATGGTTTAGTGGGATAGATAGGTACTTTTTAAAATATTTTTTTATTGATTTCGGAGAGGAAGGGAGATGGAGAGAGAGATAGAAATATCAATGATGAGAGAAAATCATTGATCAGCTGCCTCCTGCATAACCCCAACTGGGGATTATGCCTGAAACTCCGGCATGTACCCTTGACCGGAACTGAATCCTGGACCCTCAGTCCACTGGCTGACTCTTTATCCAGTAAGCCAAACCAGGTAGGGCTAGATAGGTATTTAAATGATAGCAAGAGGATGTACAAAACCACTAAAACATATAGAGGAGGGAGAAGCCAGTTGACTAGGAGTGCTTTGCAGAGGAATTGACTTTGAAGCTAGATGTAAAGGATGTGTAGGAGTTTGCCAGCCAGATAGGGATAAGGAAGAAAATTATAGTCCAGGGAAAACTGTGCAGACAGAGAACTGCAGGTACCTAGGCTAGTGTCTGGGCTGGGAATTGGAGCTGGGCAAGGTCAGCAGATGGTTGTATACATTTGAGAATGTAGAGTATTCTGTATTCTAAATATTCTTGAAATATGTTCCAGTGTTAACTGTGTTTAGAACACTGAGCAGCGGTGTGGAAGTTGTATTGGAAGTTAGCGAGCCAGTAGGGGGTTATCATTCGTGTGAGGTCATGGTAGTGTGGGGACAGACAGAACAGCGATGAGATTGCCACTGTATTTGAAAGGAGAATATAAGGGGCCTGATGGCTGACAAGATGGCTCAGGGGTCACACTAGGCATTTCCTGGGTTGTCTCAGGCTAGACTGGTACCCTTGAGTTCTCTCCTGAGATTAAGTGAGCCTCATGCACCCAGCCTGCTAACTCTTAATCTCCTGACACCCAATCACCCCGCAGAGTTTTCTCCTCCCAAGTATTCTGTGGAACTGCATCTCCCTGGCAACATCTTTCTTTGTTACCTTGGAAGACAGGTATCTATACACCATTGCTATTTAAGGGGGAAAAAATAGCACCCTTTTTCTTACTTAAAAAAATAATAATAATGCATGTTTATTGAAGAAAATTAAGTAAATATACCAGTATCTATCCTATATAATAAAGAGGTAATATACAAATTGACCCTCATGCCCTGGCACAAGATGGTCCGCCCCCATGTGGTCAAAGATGGCCACCACAAGATGGCTGGCACAGGAGGATAGTTGTGGACGACTGGGCCAGCAGGGAATGGCAGTTGGGGGCGACTGAGCCAGCAGGTTAGGGCAATTGGGGGCAATCGGGTTGGCAGGGGAGCAATTAGATGTTGATCAGGCTGGCAGAGGAGTGGTTAGGGGGTGATTGGGCTGGCAGGCAGAAGCGGTTAGGGGCAATCAGACAGGCAGGCAGGTGAGTGATTGGCAGCCAGCAGTCGGATTATAAGAGGGATGTCCCAGATCGGAGAAGGTGCAGACTGGGCTGAGGGACACCCTTCCAGTGCACAAATTTCATGCACTGGGCCTCTAGTATACATACACACACACACACACACACACACACACACACACACACACATATATATATATAATCCTAAGCGACCATTGCAACCAAAATAACTGAACAGATGACCAAACAGGCTATATGGGGCGACCAGGCAGGCCGACCAAACGACTGAACAGCAGGCTGTGTGGGGTGACCAGGCTTCGGGAATTAGTGAGGGCTGACCAAGCGACTGAGCAGTGGGCTGCATGGGGAGACCAGGCCAGCAGGGAGGGTAGTGAGGGATGACCAAACAACTGAACAGCAGGCTGTTTGGGGCAACCATGCCGACAGGGGAGACAATGAGGGGCGATCAAATAACTGAATAGCAGGTTGTGTGGGGTGACCAGGCTGGCAAGGGGGCAGTTAGGGGTGACCAGATTGGTAATGGGGGGTAGTGAGTGACGGCCAGACTGGCAGAGGGAGACAGTCAGGGGCAACCAGGCTGGTGAGGGGAGGGCAGTTGTGGTGACCAGGCCATTATGGGGGGCAGTTAGGGGTGATCAGACAGGCAGTTAGGTAAGCATTTAGGAGCCAGTGGTCCCAGATTGTGAGAGGGATGTCTGACTGCTGGTTTAGTCGTACGTCCCCAGAGGGCTCCCGAATTGGAGAGGGTGCAGGTTGGGCTGAGGGCACCACCCCCCTCTCATGCATAAATTTTGTGCACAGGGCTGCTAGGCCTATATAATAAAGAGGTAATATGCAAATTGATCCTCATGCCGTAATGCCGTCATAAGGTGTCGGCATGCACAGCGGGTACGGGGCCAGTGGCCGGTCTGCGCAGCTTCCACCGGGGTTCCTGCAGCCGCACGGGGGCACAGGGGTCTTGGTGGCCACTCTGTGGCCTGGAGAAGGGCATCAGAGCGGCACTCCAAGACTCGCGGCTGTCCCACCATGCACTGGCCATGGGAGGCGGAACTCTGGGATTGAGGCGGTCCTATGGCGGGGGGGGGGGGGGGGGGGGGAAGCGAGGGGTCCCAGGTCTTGCGCGATTTCATGTAAAGAGTCACTGATATTATTAAAAATATGAAAATAAATGCTCTCCTTAACATTGAGAAATATAATCAATCATTGTTAGCATTTTGGTGTATATTCTCTAGCCATCTGTGTGTGAATATCATAGAGTGCACATATATTATTTCATGAATTTGAGGTCTTCTAGAGTTTTTATGATTCCTGTGCTGAAATTCTTTTCTTCCTTGCCTAAGTGGTAGTCTAAAGCAAAGTTTCCGTCTGCCTCCACTTCCCTCCCTTTAGGAACTGGCTCACTGACCTCCACACAGGCCTTTTTCTTAGCATTCTGGTCCTGCCCAGTCAAAACAATGATCTCCATTGTCTATAGATAATAGTTTGCAATTCTGAGGGCCTTCAGCCTGGGTCCTGAAGCCTTCAAAGTAATGTTGGATTTATGAGGCTTTGGAATTGGAGTCCAACAAAAACTAGGTTTTAGTAGGTTAGAGAAAAATAAGAGGAAGTAGAAATTGCAAGTATATATTTCTCAAGGAATGTTTTTGTGAAATAACAGAGAAAGATGGGTCTGTGAGATCTGGGGTGTGGGAAAGTTTTGTGTGTTTTGAACAAAATAGAAGGGGGAGATAGAGACTTGTGAAGGCTGCATCACAGAACTAGAGAAAGCCTGTGGTTTACATTTATAGTCCTTAACTTTTTTCAAAATCTCAAATCTATCAACTGTTGATATTCATTAAATCTAGATAGCAAGTTCATGAACTTGCTATATTATTCTGTTTTTTAAAATATTTAATAAAAAATAAATTATGCCCTACTTTGCTTGGCTCAGTGGATAGAGTTTCAGACTGCAGACTGAAGGGTCCCGGGTTCGATTCCAGTCAAGGGCACATGCCCAGGTTGCGGGCTCAATCCCCAGT